TTCTGGAGTGTAGTGTGTGTGATTTACACGTTCCGTTTCATCAGTAGTGTTTATCATGGGAGGGTGGTTTTTCGTGGTCTTGTTGTTGTCTGAAGATGTTCGTTGTTATGTGGGCCACGACTGCCGACGGTGACCATCCCTCCATCGAAAACTCTAATATTCTCACTGTTGACTACCCAGGTGCACCTGACAACCCAGCGGTCCCAGCCCCTCAGTGCCTGGCGCGCATGATAATAAGCTATTCTCATACACATTACAAAAGTAACTACCAGGGTACAGGCAGTAAGTACATGAAGCGTAGTGAAGGACAGAGAGGTTCTTTTATTCTAATATACCACCAGATTACGCCATACCCATCATCTTGAAATCAAGTTAATATTACTCACTCACATCACTATATCTTTTGGTTTTTTATACACGTATTATTACATGATGATATGTGCGGTTTCCCATTTCCTAGACCCCGATTGACAACCCAATTAGATCGGTCTTGTCAAAACGAGGCACTAGAGATGCAGCCAATACACAATGAAGGAATCAATTCCAGATGTGCTCGTATCCTGTACGGCAACAGTTCAACCTATGGCTACTATCCTGTAGACGACAGCCTGTAGATGTATGATATTAGATGGAGATAATGTTTAGTCGGGGGGAGAATGACTGATAAACAAGTCATCGCTTTCTCGTAGCCCTCTTGTGCTCGCGGCAAGCTTTTCGTCAACAGCCGTGGGTAGAACAGTCATTACAGCACACCAAATACGAACTCCAAGTCCGCAACCCAATACATGTCATGGATATTGCTTGCATGAACTTTCATCATAAAGACACTGGAAGGTCGGGCAGGATAAGAACTTACCCTTTTGCCGACAATGAGAATATATTTTTTTGGTTCTTTATTCATATATATGAAAGTGCGCGCGGTGGTTGTCTTTTAACCCCCTCCCGTACCAAAATAAAAATTTAAGACTTTTTAAGCCAGAATGCTCTAAACTTAAAAATAACGTAAATACATTATTTGCCCTAGGAATGCTATTTAGACTAGAGATTTAGATTATAGACTATTCTACAGCCCACACAAGGTGGCTTTCAAGTTCGCGCATTGCTGCGTGTTGTGGATATGGTATCGTTGCCGACTGTCAGGGTGCTTCGATACTGAGCGAGATGGGGTCAATAGCGCCTACAAAGAGAGGGCGGGATCTCGCACCGCCACGATGAGTCAGCAGATACCTTCGTACAGAGATCCTAATATTGCAATTAGGGATTCGTTGCCGTGCTCAAGTTGCAGAGCACCATCTTGGTTACTTGTTATCTATCCAACGCAGATTTCATCAGCACCGTAACCAACTATCGGAAACTCGTAGCCGTCTTGAATGCTGCTACTTGATAAATAAGTAGATAAGCAAGCAGCCTACGTAATCGTACCTATTCTCCGCCTATTTTCGGTAAAGTTGAAGATGATGTTTTTAATTCCAGGACAGCGATCAAAACCTTTACCGTTCTCGTTTAATACTAGATTTAATGGGTTCAATAGATACAACGAGCTGTACAGAATGTGAGGAGCATTGTTCGCGTGTACCCAGGTATCTATCTATGAATTATTTATGTTGTTGTTGCTTTTGTCCGTCTTCCGTGTCCGGCGGCGCATTCGCACCGTAAAAACGCGGGGCTAAGCTCATAGCGTATCGCTTATAGCGCATAGCATAGTGTACTTACTACGTATAGCGAACGTCACACTGTCTTCGGTCAGAGGGATGGCCAGTCTTGTTCCAACTATCTACAACATATGATAACTCTCTAGATCAGATAAGCTTGACACAGACCATTCAGAAGTAGAGGAGCTAGCTAAGCTCATGCTTTAGCCTAGGTACTGAGATCTCTATATCTCACTACGCCACATGGTGTGAAAGACATCTCTCTTCTAAGTTCACAGGCTATAATGATATCATTTCACGTCGTCAAAAGATCATTGTACTCTTCTTGCCCACAGTCACGATTGTCTCGCAATATCTCGCTTCTCTCCTCAGCCCCGGCGGCGGCCACACGGCACAAGCACAGTGCCACTAGGCTAGTCCATCATCAACCTATCAAGATGGCTACCTCGGCAGAAGATGCTATCGTGAGAGCACTACAAGACTATACGACGTAGGTCGGGAGCACACCAAGCGCTATGGCATTATCGAACCTTCAGAACTCGAGCGCCCTGACTTTGTTCTTCTTGATGCCAGGTGCGACGTGTCCGATGCGCTTTGTAAACTGAAATACCGGAATGGCGGGTTCTTGTCCGGTCTGACCATGTGGTCGCCTCTCCGCCAGGACGGCGCTACTAAGATCGTCGGCCCGGCTTACACGGTCAAATACGTGCCTCTTGACGACCCGGCCCCGAAGCATCCGACCCATTACGTGTGCCTCCCCTCTCCTATCTCCCGTCTCTCGTGTCTTGTGTCTTGTGTGTTCTTGTTTTTGATATATCCTATCATGTCTTTTGCTAACTTCCCCGGTTGTCTCAGATCGATCAGGTGCCCAAGGGGGCCGTGGTGTTTGTGTCCTGCCCTCCCAAAACACCCAATGCCGTCTACGGCGGGCTGATGTCGACGCGCGCCCAGGCCTTGGGCGCCGTGGGCTCCATCATCGACGGCCGGTTCCGTGACGTGCAAGAGCAGCGGGACCTAGCATACCCGGTGAAGAACTTGGCCCACCCCTTCCCCACCTCCACTGGTTTTTAGCCAAGCGAGAATAGCTGCTAACGGGCGTTACGGGATCCAGGTTTTTGCGCGAGATGTGGGTACGGCGCCCCCTGCGGAATTGCTCAAGGTCGCGGCCGTCAACGTGCCCGTCAAGCTTCAGACGGACGAGCAGGATATGGAGATCCGCCCTGGTGACTACCTCATCGCTGACGTCAATGGCGTCGTTGTCTTGCCCATCGAGCTTGCGGAGAAAGCCCTACCGTTAATGCAGAAGCAGGTCCAGGTGCGTTTCTACAGTTCTCTTAAATTTTCTTTCTTTCATTGTGCTTGTAAGATTGTTGTGTCGTGTTAATGGAACGTGCTTTACTAATGGATCTTGTGGGAAAGGCGGATGAGAAGATGGCTGTGGAGATCAAGAAGGGTATGAGCTTCGTTGAAGCGAGTAGGAAATACAGACTGTAGGCCACTTGGAATAATTACAAATTCTCATCGAGGTAGCTAGTTATCAGGTAGTTAGCGTCACTTATATCGTGCCCGTAGCTTATTTTTTTTTTGCTTAGAATCGTCCAACATGACGGGTTATGCAACTAATAAACTTGCACGATAGCCTACGGAACTCCCTTCCTAATAAGAATGTATTCAGGTGTCTCCGGTCAAAACGTAACAGTCTCAGACTCGAAACACACCACTATGATGCCCGAGGTCCCCCCAAAGGGAGGACATTCACCGATGCCCGGAACCTTGCTAGCAAGAGAAAGGACGTACATAGGGTATTGTGCAAGCCTAGATACATGTAGGAACTGAGATCAATTCTCAGTGCGCCGACATTCAATATTGCTATAGTCTGAATATTCCATATTCCATAGGCCTTAGGCAATACCTGGTGGTAGTAGGCAGATATAGTACACAGTAAGAATACAGTATGATACAGTATGCGTACATGATACATATATACCTAGGTACCTACTGTATGCATCAACCCGTTTTTAAGAAATTGAGTGTGACAACGCTACAAACTGGTAAGTCATAAGTCACTACATCACTCACAAACTCCCAGGCTCAGTCTCTTCAAGTGCATTGGAAAGCAAAGGGAACCAAAAAAATCAGGGGGAAAGAGGAAGAAGAAAAGCGACGTAAAAAAAGAGAGAACGAGAGAGAGCGAGAGAGAGCGAGAGAGACGGAGAGAAAGAGGAGGTGAGAATCCAATGCACCTAGCACAGCCACCCGAGTCCTTCGGCGAGGAGCTCGACTATCACACGAGAGTATCTCAAATGACGTCGGCAAGTCCATCGGCATATGACGCTCTGGACGACGTATTCGGCTCTGGCGCCGATTCGCCACTGCCCGAACCGGCTGCATCGGCTCTCCAAGACTCCCCCGACATGTTCATGTCGCTCGACTCACGGAGGCTTCAGGCGCAACATAACACGGTTGGGTACCGCGAGGGCATCACCGCCGGTAAAGCCGGCAGCATCCAAGCCGGGTTCGACCAGGGATTCGCCCTCGGCGCCAACGTAGGCATCAGAGCTGGCCAGATACTCGGCCTGCTCGAGGGCATCAGAGCTGCCTTGGCCGAAGCCGGTCCCGCGGAGAGGTCCGCTGATGCCGACAGCCTCCTGTCCCAAGCTGCTGCCGAGCTGAATCCCGAGAGCGTCTTCACCTCCGAATTCTGGGCATCGGACGGCACCTGGACATACCCTGTCACCGCATCGCACGAGACTGGGGAGATCATATATCCGGATGTGGCCGACCAACACCCCCTCATCGCTAAATGGTCCCGCATTGCTCGCGATGAGGCCAACAGGTGGCATATTGATCAAGCGCTGCATATCCTTGAGAGTAATACGGCAACTACCCAGGATGATGGCGCCGCAGTACCGGCAACATTGTCTAACCCGGACATGACCTCTCGAGACGCTATTGAATGGTGATAAATCTCATCGGTAACTGGCCGTGTTGAATGAGTCTCTGGTCCTAGGTCTAACAAGTTGAAGACACGGGTTCATCTGAGCGTGGAGCTGTCATTGCCTATCGCTCATTCGCTTCCCCTATTCTACCTTACCAACATATACATGGACGCGGGATAGTAGTGTGGTACCTAGGATACCCTAGATCACAGACCGTGCGAATCAAAGGGGTCGAATTACGATAATTATAATAATAGTAGCATTGTTGACTAGGTCTGGCCGTTTTACGTCAAATACACAAGTGCCTACTTAACCCTCGTCTTGGGTTCTACTGGGGGAGTACCTAAGCAGATTTCCCAGTAAGCTCAGCGTCGGACTGGAAAAGGCGGTTTGGCACACTGTACCATTCAGAAACGAATGGGCCATGACCTATAGAACTACAGTCGATGGCTCTACCACTGAGCTATCATTCTAGTCGATCTTGTAGTTTAAATTGTTCCGACAAATGATGGGAGATCGCTCCTCAATCTAATATCATGTCCCGTTAAATACCAAGAAACCATGAAGTTAAACTTGCTTACATAAATCGTATCTAGACTACTACTAGCATAATACGAAGTCTTGTGTATGCAACGGTAGCCCTTTTTTAGTGTTCCACCGCTCATTGTGAACAGATCGAATGTTAGCTCGTTGTGTCTAGCTGTATTTAGGCTATCTAATGCATCTCGTTAGCAGCTTTTCATAACCGCCTTGATCAATATTCATCAAACCCCCTATGGAACACCATAAGAAATTGAGAGTGAATGGTAGTTAAGCCCACGTGAGCCCGAGCATTATACTTGCTCACCTTACTGACGAGGCGCTGTTGTCGTCACTAGACAAAGATCGTCACGTTTACTAGCTCTTGTACGAGCAATGCGAGGGAACCAGCAAGGTTAGTCTAGTATTACAGGAACCTTATAATTATCTACGGGTTATGCCGCTGCTATTGGTATATGTTTGTATGCACGTCGCATAAGAACAACATCCTATAGATCCCACAATACGAAAGCACACACTGATAAGACTACACGATGTTATTCATAGAGGCTTTTCTTGACGGTGACTCATCTAAGCGCTAGATGATTTTATTTGTCATAGTTATTGGTTTTGCATTGACTTTGCTCGTACACTTCAAGTCCCGAAAATGAAGCCTTACTGAATGGAAATTCGATATTAAGTAAAAGCATCTAGCATATAGAGCTTGCTACCTGGCTATCTAGATTACTTACTATAGACGGTGAGTATGGTTCTGTAACTTGACGCTATGTTACACTAAGCTCGAGATTATATAATACAACAAGTAGGCTGAGCAAGATAATGAGTTGGTAGAAGGGCTTCGGTGGTACGATGGGCGTGGCTTCGTAGTTGAGTACTCGGATAGATGTAGGATAAAATATCCATCTTCCTCTGCCCTATATCACTTATATATTAAGACATAGAAAATTTTCTGCTGTATCAGACGGAATACCTAACTTCTCGGTGTTCCATAGTATTTTGTTGTGCAGGGAACAATTGAACTTCGGCCTTCAAATAGGAGTAGTCGTGCAGTAGCTATATAGCCAAGGCGGGCTAATCATGGCATTTTTAAACCCACTGCACACAAAGAGTCACACCTAAAAATTTCACTGTAGTACCGTAGTATACCGTCAAGACTCGGTTTGAATCATGTGTTTTTTAGGTCCTGATGCTTGCTATGAGTATATATATACATGGGTTATGTGTATACATCGCGTAGAAGTCTTACTGCCCAGAAGCCTGTCTTTCATACGCTCATTCCCTCATTATTCGTTATCTTAATATTTTCGAAAAAGCTCCGAGGGAAACATCTGCCTCCCAGTAGAGAACCAAAGCGAATAGCAACACCGAGCTGCGTAGGTAGGCTTTGGATCTCACTTGACCTGTATCGTGATGTACGTAGGTGGCCTCGTATAACTCAATATAATAATGAACTTGGATACCATGACGAATAACGACAAGAATGTTAATGCTAAATAAACAATAATGAAATGCTGTTGCTGCGTGTTGCTCTGTCATAATAAATGAGGAATATGACCGGACTCCTATGCAGACCAAACCGACTGGTGTTCAACCTTCCATGATCCCGGCCCTATCCCGGTATCACTGATAACCACAAATAGATTATGCCGGGCTCCATCGTGAGTAATGTCTAATGCGTTACATACATACATAATGAAACAAAGATTATCTAGTAATAGCGCTAACCTAACAGTCGCTATGAATGGAAATAGAGGATAAAACGGGGTATCAGCAAAGAATAGGCATTACTATATCTTCCTCGCATCGAACAGCGTCAAGCTGAGGCTCGTGTCATTATCCCCTATATTGGGTGTTGGCTCGTTGAGAAGCTCCCAACGTCTGAATGCAAAGGGCGTAAGTTTCTCTGGTGGCATCCCTATACCTAGAGTCATGGCTATCTGGCGCCGCTCTGGGTGACCGGGTGGTGGCTTTTCCCGGTGGGCTAGCATGAAGGTCTCTGCCGGATCGGGAGAGAAGCTGAATAGATATCTGAGTCGAGGATCGGTGGTATAGTCTTTCACAGCACGAACGCATTGAAGGCGACCTTCCTCGGGTAGGTTGTCGGCAAGAACCAGTGCAATATCGAAGACGCGAGGTCCAAGATGCGATGTCGGGTATTTGTCAAGTTCCAACACGATCCCTGCCAATATAACGAGGACACGGGCACGCGTGTCGCCACCTGGGAGCTTCGAAGGATCTACAGCGACTGAAAACTGAGAAGCTTGAAGAGCTAGATATGATAGAAGTAGGGGAAGCCAGTGGGTAAGCACCGCTGCTTTCAGGGGTGCGCATTCTTCGCTCGAGGAGCCCAGAATCTCCCAAAGATCGGTCAACCTGTCAGCCATCCCACTTGAAAAAGGCGAGAGCTTCGACACTGACGCGCCCCGAATAACCGAATCAACAATTGTAAGCAAGTTCTCTGCCATGTGAATGTCACTCTTGGAGCCGGTATCGTTAAAGGGAAGGCTCTTCACCGAAGGGAATAAATCCAAAAATCGTGCTTCTGCTCGGTTTTTCAAATGCAACGTAATATCGAAGCTTAAATAAGAGAGCATTCCGGTCCACATGATGTTATCTGCTTCAATTGCGTTGTCCATCGCGATTGAAAGCTGTTCGAATTGCGCCTGAAGTCTTTCGGCTCCTTCAGGCGTACTAGGATCGTGAATTGCTAGATTTAGTGAAAGTTTGACCTGACAGAATGGGAGCGTGAATTCATTTGCTAACTCCAAGACCTGCTCGAAAGTCTTCTGTCCACCTCCCAAATGAGGCACTAATAATTTAGTTGTGAGGGCCTCAATAAGCGTTGCTAACTTAGCGTCTGGGCTCTTAAGTGATAATGTCTGACTAGCAGCTTGTGGGTCGATAAGGATTAAGTCTCTGAGGAGATCAAAGAGATGAGACTTGACCTTTTCATCATCAAGAGGCTGTGGTCTGGGAGGTTGTTGGTTTCGAGAGGCCGCGTATTCCGCCAATGACCCACGGACTAAGAGCATCACTTCTTTAGCATACTCGAGGCGTGCTTGGGCCTGGATAATTTGAAATCGATAGCAGTCACCCAGAGTCAAGATCTGGTCTGGAACAAATGGCTTTATTAGCATCTGTAAGATTTCCTGCATGTAAGTAGAGGCTGAGCCCACGGCGTTAGGCTGAGTTTGCGCTCCTTGATGTTGGCTTCTCAGGGCGGTTGCGAGGAGTGTTGTGAGCGAGAGGCAACCGGAGCTGACGAGAAGTGGGTACATCTGAGCGATCGATGCCCGCTTTGTTAGTTTTCGAATGTACTGTACCCAGTCTTTCATCAAAGTATCGAAGTATTGTGTATCAAAAACCCGGAGGCGCGACAATAAAATAGAATAGGGACGTTGTCGTTCGTGCCCTTTAGCCCAGCAGCTTACTAGCTTACGCACAATTGTATGGAAAAGACGCTCCATGGTATGCTTGTCAGCGCTCGTATAATTCGCAAGCTTTTCAATTTGCTCGCCTAGTTCCGTCTCGTCGTCCTGAAGCTGAGTGGCCATGTTATCGGACAGCGGTGATGAAGCATCCACAGCGTTGCTCCGATCTGCCAAATGCAACTCTGCTCGTAGCTGTGATGCCGTTGACTCGAGCCCGGGAATTCGGGGCGCGAGGTTTGCGAGTGAAGCAAGAAGGGGCCGTGCTCCAGCACCTTGTTCTACGCTGATCGTCCTCAGGCGGTCATAGAAGGAATGAAAGAGAGATTTTGCCGAGCCCATCGCGAAGAATATTGGTAAATGGAAACTAAGGGTGTTCACGCAATAGGACAGCGTCTCAACGTTGGAGGAGTGTGTCATATAGCCTAGGGTCGTGTCAAGCATGCTGAAATCTTGAGCAGCCTCCAACAGCGTCACCATATCAAGATATCTCTCGGGCGGCTCGACATACGTTTTCTCTGTCTGGGGCGGCTGAACGAGACTATCGACGAAGTCGGTTGCGAGCCATGAACACACCTCAACCTTGAGGGACCGACTGCTCTGACTAATCTTCCTGGCTAATCTTTTAATGTTCATAGGGGGTTTCTGTAATATTGGGTCGTTGGGCTCAAGAGGAACGGATAATGCGTGTTTGATATGTTTAATCGCCGTCCTGATATCCTCTGCCTCATCTTCGACGGAAAATGCAGCTCTCCGAAGAAGGGAAGCTCGCAAACTCCGCATCGAGTCGTTAAATGAGTGAACGGGAATCTCGACGAGGAGCCTCATAGAACACGGACCATCTGGTTGCGCCCCGGCCGGGTCGCTAAGACCACCTCTTGCGATGAGCCATTGAAGATACCGTGATACAGAAAAGTGGCCCGAGCGAACAAGCTCAGAGACCAGGTGGTAGACGCTATGCTTTCGTGGGGGTTCGCGGAGTGCATCCGCATCTAGAAACCCAAGTATCTCGCCAGTAAGATCGGTATCGAGGTCTGATATTGAGCGGAGGATTGCTACTGCGACATATACCTTGGCGGCGCCAAACCGATAAAGCGATGTGCACCATTCTAGTGTGGTTCGGATGAGGACTGGGGTGTTTTTGGTAGCTTTTCGTATTTGTCCGGGAATATCGTCCTTAAATGGTAGGCGCAGCATGTTGTCGAGGAGTGCAACAAGTGTACTTCGAATAGCTGGCTGTGTTCTGATATTAGAACCAGTTAATGAGTCGATTCGAAAGTCAATATTTTTAAATGCCGCATACGACGATTCTTGGCTCGAGGAAAGAAAGGGTTGTAATGAGTCTCGAAACCGAGACCACGTCGTAGGATGCACAAAACTATCTGGGCTAACCGAGAGCAGGGATTTAACAAGCGACCCAAGCTGAGTGGATAGTGGTAGTAGGATATCTCGGTCTGGACTGTCATATATCTACCTAGGGAGTCAGTATAAGCGCGTGACAAGTT